CACGGGTGGGGTCTATCTCTCACGGCTCACACCTGTCAGGTGTGACAGGGTTTACAGGGTTTACAGGGTCAGTGACATTCCAAAGTCAGAGACTTTGCTGTGTTTCACATTGTTTTTTCAAAAAACATGAGTTAAGATATAATTTGCATATCATAAATTTCATCATTTAAAGTATACACTTCAATTTTTTGAGTGTTTACAGAGTTGTGCTACTATCAGCATAATATAAATTTAGAATATTTTCATTATCATACAAAGGAACAATTATTAGTCTAATAACTAATATTACTGTAACTGTGGGTTGCTAATCTGATTTTTGCTTTCTACATAATTTAAGAGATTAATACATTAACATATTAGTCTTTTTTGGACATGTAATGTATCAAAATGTAATGTATTGGTATCAGTACTTCATTCCTCTTTTTGCCCAATACTAGCAGTCTGGAGACACTACAGGTTGTTTCACCATTAACCAGTGGTGGACATTTGTGTTGTTTAAGCGTTTTGGTGTTATGAGTAACGTTGCAGTAAACCCTGGCAGACGAGATTCAAATCTCCCTGTGGACATGTGTGTTCACTGGTCTTTGGGAGACTGGCCGTTGTGGAATTTCAGGGTGACATGGTAACCCTGTTGGATTAAATGTCTGATTGCCGTACTGAGGGGTGACCCCAGGTTTCCTTTCCATGAACACCGTCTGAGAGGTGCAATGTCTGCACCCTGTCTTCACCGTCGGTTATCACCCGTCATTTTGTTGTAGCCACCCTAATGGGATCGCAGTGGCATCCCACTGTAGGTTCCATCGCATTTCCCTAATGGCTAATGGTGTTGAAGCCTTTGCACGTGCCAGCCTGTTTCTCATCACACGTGAGCAGCTGAAGGTCGCAGGCCCTTCGTGAGTCCCTGACTCCAGCACACCTCAGGCCGAGGCCGTGTTGATCCCACACGCAGCCTGCTCCTGCCCAGAAAGCAGGACAGGTGTGTTCCAGCACAGGCTCCTCTCAGAGACAGAGGACGGGCAGAGCGAGGCCAGGCGCCCCGCCAGGCCCAGCGCGCAGGAGTCACCACTGGCCCGGCCGGCCCTGCAGCCCCAGGCCACGCTGCCCTCAGGCCTGTTGGAGCCTGCTCGCGAGCACGCGCCTCGCGGTCCTCACAGGGGACACGCAGCAGGTCCGGCGAGGACCCCCATGCCTCAGCAGAGGACGTGCCGCTGGGAACCGGGACTGGATGGGGACCTGCCTGCAGTGGCTGCTCTCTGCTCACACGGGCCGTCCTCACCAACCCACAGCCGCACGGACACCAGGCCGTCTCGTCACCAGGAACCAAACAACAGTCTGCGGAGAAGTGACAACTCCAGTAAATGAATGAGATGAGGTTCAAGTAAATGTGGGCTCAGGCTGCATTGAGGGGAGGACGGCATGATATTACCAAAGTGAAATTTATGCATATTTAATATGTCACTATCGTAAATGTGTTTTAATAAATGACAGAAATTTGGGGAATGTTGACTTTTCTTTTCAATAATAGTTTGAAAAAATTTAAATTCACAAAATAGTCTCAACTGTTTCTCGAATGAACAAAGAACGAGTGAAACACACTTAAATTTGGAGACTTATCTTAAAGTGAAATTATTTTAAACAGTGTAGGCTGTTGCTGGAACAAATGGAAGACAGGTTCCGTAACAGTCAGAAACAGAACTAGGTGTGCCAGGGGCTTAGGACAGATTTCAAATTCCATGGAACAAACACAGTGGATCCATGTCCAAACAGAAGCGTGGAACATTGTAAAATTCGCTTCTAAATTTAAAACAAAGTGAGATTGAGAATATCTAAGGAGACTCTTTGTATGCAAATTTAAAGGAAGAAAAGTCCCAGCCCTGATGGAATAGCATGGAAAACCTTGAGTTCATGAACCACTTGAGAACTGGGCAATAACTACTTTAAAACTTTTGAAAATCCTCAGGCAGCAAGGAATGGAGGGCTGGGATCTGTGGCAGGACACAGAGTGAGGTGACACGAATGATGTCGGCTCTGACGTTTGCTGGAACAGGACAGTCAAGGGCGCCGGTCTGGTACCCACTGAGGTTCTGCTCAGACTCAGGTGAGCACCAGGGCTGGGGGTGCGGCCACTTCTCTGGATGCTGGACGACGTCGCCAGTGCCGGGCTCGGTTCATCTCTGGGCTCCAGCGTGGGGATGAGGCTGCTCATGAAATCATGGTGCTCCTCACGGCGTCATGGAGGAGCTTTTCTCTCTGCAGTATAATTGATTTGAGTTTGGAGCCTCTGAGAAGCAGAGACAAGGAGGAATTAGACAAGAAAGTAATTTTTTTGTGTGGGAGGCACAATTGATAGACACAGGGGGAGGGGGCTGTTGAAGGAGGGGGCTTCAGGCCTCAGCTCCCACCCCTGTGAAAGGAGGGAGGGAGGAAGGATGGGCAAGACGAGCCTCAGACCACGGGCAGGTCTGAGGATGCCCCAGCAGGCTGAGCGGGTCCTGGCCCATGGGAGCCCGTTGGAGGATCCTGCTTCCTGCAGGGACCCCGGGCTCATCACTGCCTGAGCCAGCCCAGGGACAGGGCTCAGTCACCTCAGAAGTGCTCCCCATGCCTGGACTCCTCCCATCTCCTCTTCCTTCCTCTCTTAGTCTTCCGTCCCCATGTCCCACTAGGAGCCACATGCCCTTCCTCCCCTTCCCTATTTCCTCTGCTGTCATCTCCCTGAGCCTCCCAGGAATGTTTCCTGCCAGATCAGTCCTTCAAGGTCTCCTAAAATTCGTGTCCCAGAGCTGAGTCTCTAATAGGGTGACCGAGGACAGGCACAGCTGTGGGTAAACCTCTCCCCTTAAATGAAGGAGACTCAGCCTCGTGGCCCTGGGCATTGTCCCCACTGGATGCCTCAGCCCCACCCCACCCCCTCTGCCCCACACCAGTGTCTGCCACCCCCTCTCTGAGCCTTGCTCTGGACAGGGCTGAGCATCCCACAGTCTATGTTCCCCTCTGTGAACCCCAATTCCCCTCTGAGACCTCCTAGTCACACCAGCATCCTGAGCAAGTGCCCCTCCTCTGAGCCGTCCTCCATGAGAGACCCTCTTTGTGCTCTGCTCCAGAGCAGGTGACACGCTCTCATGACCAGGAGTCCACACGGGCCACCTCTGATGGACTCTCATCCATTTTTGACACGATGCCCACAGAGTCTCTGAAAAGTTAAAAAGAAACACAAAAAGTTATACAACTACTGAAAAATACTAACATTACTATCCAGTTTCCACCAGTGAAAGAAATGTGCAACAGAAGGTGAAATCTGTCCAGATGACAACACATAAAATCACTATATATGAAGGAAAACTTCATACAACTGTGCATGGTGCATAGAGTATACATAAGACCATTTCAGAATGTCACTCCCACCCTGACCTCCCGCTGGAGCCGTCTCTCCCCACAGACAGGGCAGGGGCTGCTGCAGCCATGGCAGGTGCAGGAGCTCAGGGGGGCCCAGGACAGAGCAGTGGGTGTGGCTGGAGCCCCAGAGCCAGGGGAGGGGCTGCAGGGCTGTGGGCTGGGGGGGCCAGGCCAGGAAGGGGCTGAGGAGTGAGGACTGTGGGGTTCATGCAAACAGCCCTGGGGAGTCACTGATGGAATTCAATCCCAGAGTGACCTGCCTGTCCTGAGTGCAAAGCTCTCTCCTGGTGTCCTGAGGACACAGGCCTGAGGGAAGCAGAGGATCCTGGTCATAGTTATTTACCAAAAGAACATCAGAGTCTAGGAGTGTGGGACCATTTGCACAGTTAAGTGGATTTGCATCTGGGAAACAGTAAGGAAGGGATGGTGTCTGCATTCATCTGCCCAGGAGTCAATGTCTCTGCAGAGACATTAAAATGTCACACTGACCTTCCTAGTAAACTATAAAAAATGTGAGTAAGGAAATAAAAATAGGGAAATTATGTTTAGAATGGATAGAGCTGGAGCCCATTCTACTAAGTGAAACACTACAAGAGTGGTCAAGCAAGCACCACATGTGCTCACCATCGAACTGTGTATAAATGGATCAGTACTTATGTGCACATAGAGCAGTAAACTTTTCCAGGTGTCACTCAGGTGGAAGGGGGTGGAGGATGGGCATATTCACACCTAATAGGTGCAGATCACACCCTCTGGGAGAGGGACATGCTTGAAGGTCTGACTAAGGTAGGGCAAAGAAGATGTATGTAACCTAAACATTTGAACCCCTGTAATGTGCTGAAATAAAATAAAGAAAGAAAGAAACAAAATAAGTACACATAATGTATTCTACCTAAAATAAAACACTAATAAGAAACATAAGGCAGAGATAACCAGGAAAATAAAAATTTAGGAAGAAAAGACTCACTTTAAATGCGTTAGACTATGAACAAGTAAATGTTATTTCTACCCATCTACCACATTTCACAAATCCTGTCTATTTAGTATCTTCATGGTGTGAGTATTGACATGTATTCTGAATTGCTGAATTTTAAACACATCACTGAGCCAATTCCTGGAACATTGTTCTTCCATTCTATTCTCCTGAACAGCCTGTCCTGCCGTTCAAGTCAGCTCAATGTTCCAGCATCTGTGGTGCCTACAATGATGGCACATGAGAGGCATTTAGGTTTTTCTAGAATGTAGAAAATTACGGGAGACTGTACCTAAAGCTGTTATATATGCACATTATTGCACCTCTCGTGGTCCAGGATTCCTTCTGGGAGTGAGAAACCCCAGTGATCACTCACAGTGTACTGGGGTCACTCCACCAGGGAGTCAGCCCATGGTGTGTGACCAGAGACAGTGACTGGGGAGCTGCAGAGACCAGCTGGGCTCTCAGGTCTCTGGGCCATGGGGAGGTGTGTGCCTGTGACCAGCAGGGGGCGCTGGGGGACTGCTCTGTGGTCCCTACACAGCTGCTCAGGGAGGACCAGTCACTCCAAGGAGCTTTGGCCTCAGGGTTGGGCCCTGTGCCCACTGATGGGGACTCAGCAGCTGTGTCCTCTCTGGCCTGGCACAGTCCCCTGAGCAGGGCCCTTTGTGTGGTCCCAGCAGCTGCTTCCTCCCAGGGCTCCCCCAAGGGGCAAAGCAAAGCCCCCTCCTCAGTGTGCAGTGAGAGCTGAGCTCCAGCCCAGGGCTCAGGGAGGGGCTGGGCAGTCCCTGGATGGAAACACGTTTGCATGAGCAGCCCCTCCTCTGCAGAGGGTGGGGACAAAAGGAGGCCTGGGCAGCCCAGCCCCACTGTGGGGACCAGGGGCTGTGTGCACCATGGCCTGGACTCCTGTCCTGCTCGTGCTCCTCTCTCACTGCACAGGTAGGGACAGGCCTTGGAAACTGACTCTCCATTTCCATGGTGTGTCAGCCCCTTTGTCTAAGACCCATGGAGTACTTCAGTCTGGATTCTGCCCCAGCACTCAGGAATGTCTCTCTTTGCAGGTTCCCTGTCCCAGCCTGTGCTGACCCAGCCGCCCTCCCTCTCTGCATCTCCTGGAGCATCAGCCAGGCTCACCTGCACCCTGAGCAGTGGCTTCAGTGTTGGCAGTTATGGTATATCCTGGAACCAGCAGAAGCCAGGGAGCCCGCCCCGGTACCTGCTGTACTACCACACAGACTCAGACAAGCACCAGGGCTCCGGGGTCCCCAGCCACTTCTCTGGCTCCAAAGACGCCTCGGCCAATGCAGGGATTCTGCACGTCTCTGGGCTGCAGCCTGAGGACGAGGCTGACTATTACTGTCATACATGGGATGGCAGCGCTAATACTTACAGAGTGATCTAGACACACGGGGAAGTGAGACAAAAATGTCCCCCTGTTCTTCTGGCCCTGTGATTTCATCCTTTGCTTGTGGCTCTAACAAGTCTACCTCAGGGGTGACTTCTGTTGTCACATCTTCTAGCAATACCTGATTTATCTTGGGCAAATAAATGTGACAATGTTATATCCTGCTGTTCAACTCAACTTTTGGATTGACTCAGTGCTCAAATATTTTCATCCTGTGCATGTTTTGTCTTGAAAATTCTTTATGTAAGTTTAAAATCTCTCCATGGAGACTTTGGAGGAGACTAAACATATTTCACTCAGGTGATGTCTCCTCAGAGTAGAAAGTGTGAGAAAAGATGTGAGTGGGATTGCAGTCCTGGCAGACGCTTGCCTGGGTGCACGTGACCTGCTGGCGTGTGGGGAAAGGGGCGTGGGCGGCTGGCTTGCAGTCAGGGGAGGCCGACAAGGTGGGCAGGGAGAGGCCCAGACCAGGACAGGACTCGCTGCTCTGAGGCTGCTGGGCAGAGTGTGGGAGCCGCAGGCCGGGGCTGGGCTCTGCTGGGCTGAGACTGTGCTGTCACCTGCAGTGTGACCCGAGGGGGTGTGGTTTGGACTCTCCCTTCACCCCAGTGAAGCAATGCATGACCTGCCACCTGTTTGAAGACAGTCACCCAAAAGGCTCTTTGGAGGAGAGGACACCCTCCTAGATTCAAGATCTTGGGCTGTATTTTCAAGAGTTAGAAATGGAAACTTCATCCATAATCTCTGGATGGGCAATACAAGACCTTTCTCTCAAAATACACCCCGTCTGATAGCTGTCATGGCCTGTCCCAGAATTGGAGGGTGTGTCCCTGCCCACACTGGTGCTGCTGGCCTGGTCCTGTGGGGGGAGTATATTGGGGTGTGACGCATATTGGGGAAATGTGAGACTCAGACCTTTCAGCGTTTTGTAGGAACTGGGGAACAGGCTTCCCCATCCTCCAACAATTAGCACAGAATGTTCCACGTAACAGGACCCAGGAAATACTAGAAAGGCAAAGAGAATCATGACGATTTGTATGAAGTGCCTCTAACGTTGCTCTGTGAATGGGGTAGGGAAAGAGATTCAAGGCAGCTCTGTCTTCACTTTGTGCTCTGAGGTGCAGGGTTATGGGCTGTCCCCATCCTGCCCTGGGTCACCTCTTCCTCAATATTCTGTAACATGACCCAGGCCCAGGTGTCTGAGGCCTCTGCAGATATACTGCCCCTGCTCTGCCCGCCCTCAGGGACCCTGCCCTGGGCTCACAGGTCTCTGCACTTCTCCCTGCTGGTCCAGCTTCATGCAGGGACAAGGTCCTTGGGAGAGAAGCTGACACCTCCTGCCCTGGAAGACATAACAGCCCTCGGTGGAATGGTCATGTTGTGCCGTGTTACCATCAGGGATATCTCATCAGAACTCTTGACGCTTTGAAACAACCACGTGCTCGAGGAATGTCAGTTCTTCATGTGGGTTCCAGGCCATCCTCCCCTAAGAGCTCTTGCTTTTATTTCAGGGATGAGCTCAAGAAAGGGATTGTTACATGACAAACACCACTCACTCGTCACCACACAGGTGGCCGTGTCTTCTCAGTGCCAGCAGTGATGTGCCCCACGTGTCCTTCCAGGGTCCTGCACACACACTGTGCTCACTCACTGCCCGTCCTCTGGGAGAAACGTAACCTCCTCCAGCACTGGGGTCAGCAGCGTGGGGTGGACAGTGTGGTCTGGTCCCACCAGCTCCCGAGAGAAACCACAAATGCGGATACCTGGTGGTTCTCAACCTGCAGGGTCCCATGTTGCAGGTCTTGCTTCACGTGTGGCCACGTGGACTCCTGCAATACTCTGGGCTTCTATCTGAGGATGAAGTTGATGATGACGGTTCAGCATGTGGAAGGAGCCCCGTGCTAACCCTTGGCACCTGCTCCACAGAAAAATGAGACAGTCGTCTCCTCTCTGATCCCCCATCCTGACCCATGAACACACTTTGTCATTTTATGGCCAACACCAGACTCAGGGAACATTCCTACTGTCATTCCTCACTCCAGACTAAGATTCTGAGATGCATCCCTGGATCTGAAACAATCTATCAACCCAATGCTAATATTAAGCTATTAAAATAAAAGACTCCAGTCTCGTCATTGTCCCATAGACAGGCAGATCAGATGGGAAATGCCTTTGGCCATCTCAGATGTCTGGACACGTGTCCTTGCTGTGTGTCTGTGTCCATGACTCAGGACGGGCATGTGGTTAGGAGTGAGAGTGGTCGCCATGTGGTCCAGGGAAAAGGTGTTGAGTTTTGTGAAGTCAAAGAGGCAACTGACACATGTCACTGCTCTTGGCTGTACCTAAGGCAGCTCCCTGATGTCTGCAGGTTCCTGTGATCATCCTCATATTGGGCAGGAAAATTCCATCAAATGGACGACTAGGACCCCACAAAATATCAGGCAGGAAGAAGGTGCAGACTTTAGAACAACCTAATCAAAGAAAAGCCACTAGATGATGCCCAAGGAAACTAAAAGACATTTGATTGTAATGCAAGTCCCTATAGGTGTAAAAACAAAGTGGACAATGACGCTTTTAAGTCACCACAAGGTCGTTGTGGAAACAGATGGCGACTTCCAGCCCACATGTGGCAGGGGCAAAAGAGAGGACAGAAACCTCTGGAATCCAGATGAAGGGAATGTCTGCATTTTTGTGGTGTTGAAGGGATGAAAAACCCGCCAGAGGCTCGCTGGAAAGTCCTGCAGGCTCACAGCGCAGGGGAGGGAATGTGTGGAACACACAGTTACAGTGAAGCCAGAATGACCACCACTGCCAGCAACAGCGACAGTTCCCATAGTTTTCATAGTTAATACGTGGGGACCTGTCCAACACCTAGCAATAGTGATTATGACAGAGACAGGGATTGTGTAAACTTTTTAAATATTCTCCATTGTAGGGAAATTCGACAAAATATTAAATTAGTGTGGGCTCTAAGAAGACAGGGTTGCAATATCTAGGGTCACTACTGAAACTGTAGGATCTGAAAGTAAATAGCTATGGAGTGTGAAATCATTCAGTGGAAATGCTTGATTCATGAAAAATAAAAGATGAGAGAGCAGGAATTAAGCAACGAAGCCCAGATTAAGAAAGAGAAATTAGACCCAGACACAGGATCAGTAATTGCACTAAATGTACATTCATGGGTGGATGGGATGAAAATAGAGTCCCTTACAGCAAAGACACAAACGTGTCCTGCTCCTTCTGCCCCACAGGGGAGTTTAGAGATGAAGAGTTTCTACATACTCCATGATGCTCACAACAAATCATTCAAACATAGTGTGTGTGTGTGTGTGTGTGTGTGTGTGTGTGTGTGTGTATACACATATTAA